AATGACTGACATTTCTGTAAACAGAGTCCTTAAAGTCCACATGAATCGGAAGCTGCATACATTTATTTATTTATTTTTTGTATTGTGACGCAGTTCCTAGAGAAACGAAAATTTAAATGTGAAAACCATGGGCATGACTTGTTTTTTTTTACTGCAAGCTGATTGGATGTAGTAAAGTGTGCATTTCATTCAGAAAGATGGGGAAAGAGTTTAGTAATTACAACCTAACAGACATCTCCTCCTCCTCACCATATCGGTTTGTTGTCAAAACTGACAGCTGGAGGGGCGTGGTTAAGTATGTTAGCCATACTCAATACCTCAGACAGACGTAATCTGAGAATTTAACTGAAAACAAACAGGAAGTGCATGTTTAGATTTTAATTTTAGATTAGAAGGACAAACTTTTTCTTAATGACATACACATGAATTGTTCACCATAAAAATAGCAGTGTAACTGTGAGCTAACAAAATTATATAGTAAGTTTTGATATCATTTGTAGTTAAGGGATGGTTCCCTTAAAACTTCAACCTGTTCCAAACCTGTTTCTTTCTTCTATTAAACATAAAGGAAGATGTATGGAAATATGTTGGGGGGAAAAACAACTTTTGACTTTCATAGTATATTTTGTTCTTAGTATGGATGTCAACTGCTGCTTTTTTCCCAACATTCTTCACAATATCTTGTTTTGTGGTCAACAGAACACTGCAAAAACAAATCATATATTTTAGTTTCTAGTCCAGACATCTGAAGATTCTTAAATCAATTTTCTAAATTATTAGAAATTCTTTTTCAAGAAAGAATTAGCTGTTTTCGGTTTGCAATAAGATGATTTTACTTGCCCAACTTTCTTTAAAAGGGAGTTTATTGCAAAATCCAAGCAATTATGTCTGGTTACAAAAATATTTGAAACATTTGTGTAATAAATGACACTTTTTCTCTCTCCTTATTTTTATGCCAAGTACAGATTTTTACAGAGATAGATTTCCAGCAGAATCCACTTCAACAAACCCTAAATACACTTATATAAATATTATAAATAATATTAATATTACACTAAATAATATAAATATTAACAGTAATAATAATAATAAAAAATAGCAAGGATACAAAAAAAAATTAAATAAAAACCAGCAAAATAAGAAAGTGAATATAATAAATAGACAATAATAATGGGTGTTACAATCAAGGATAATGCTGTGCTAGCTTACGACGATAGGGTAGCATAGACTAAGTATACTGTAAGAGTCTGGAAATAAGAGTCAGTGAAATTACAGTTACATACAAGATAAGTCACATTATTCCCCTGGAGATGCATTTATAGCAGAGAAATATGATAAATATGATAATTGATAAGTGTTGCCAAACAAAGGAGAATTTGCTAGAACGTCTAATTGAATATTGAATTTTTTTCCAAGTGTACATACAACATCAGATCAGCCAATGTGATGCTTTAGGAAGATTTAAAAATTTCCAATGCAATAAAATGTATCCACAAGCCAGTAAGGTAGATTGTTTTATTTGGCTGTTAGTAATAATAATAATCATGACCTGAATTTTGAGAATTTTTTTCTTTTTTTTATAGTACAAGACTGGAGCGTTCAGTGTGGAATCAGACATTATTTACTTTAGACCATTTATACATGTAAAAATTCAGTTTGTTTAACTCGGAAATGTGAATTTAAATGTTGTTTATCCAACAGAGAATTGAGATGGTCTGACTTCTGAGAATGAACACAGTGTTTCATGTGCTCAAATTTTAATGTGACTGCAGCGTTACTCCCAAGACCAGTCGCGACACGCACACACACGCACACAAACAAAAACAAAACAAAAAAAACTTTCTTTTTATATTTACAACCTAATGTTGCATTTATTTACTTATTCTTTGTTTTTAATTTTATGCTCAGTTACATTGTTTAAAACAACATATGCAAAAAAGATATGAAATAAGACTGGGCGATATGACAAAATTCTCATTTTCATAAGTCATTTCATATTCTAATAACCATGTTTATCTCAACATAGCACCATTTCAGTAAATTCAATAAATGAATACTTATATACAATATGCACTCATCTGATCATATTCCTCACTTTTATTTAAAACTTTAGGCCAAATGTTTTAGTAAAACAGTAAATATTAATAAAATATAAAACTTTTTTTTATTGCAATATTAACATAAAATAAAATGTGAAAATTAAAAAAAAAAAAAAAAGCAAAATGTCAACAGTTTCAAGATTGCAGCTTTCTCACGATTCTGTTATGCATGTGTTTGTCTGCATCCCATAATGGCGTTGATTTTGAATGCATGAAATCTGAGAAGATATTGTGTGATTGACTGCACCAAACAATTCAACAACAATTAACCCTTGTTATACTGGCAAGCGTCTCATATTCTGTGTAATGGTGAAGTTTTGTCAGTTAGCCTTTGTAAAACAATATTTATTATTATCCATTATATGCGGGGCGGATAGTCTTAAGTTGCACCTGTTTTATCACCAGTAGTGCTTCACAAAACATAGATAGAAGATTAGATTGACAAGCTGTTTAAAAACACCACTGATAAATACACAGAATGGAGAGTAGATTGTTTAAATCCTGAAGTCTACATCACTAATAACTGTAAACGGACATATTGAAACTTTGCTGTTAAAACATTGAGTCACTAAACATTCATATGCACAAAACGGTCATGCTAAATCTAAATCTGTATTCTAGATGTGCTAAAAAATAAATTCATTAACAATTAATACTATATAAATGCAATAATCACATACGCCTGGGGCTTTGTATAAAGAAGCGTACATATATGAGCAGTATCACACTTCTAGCAGTGTAATATGGCTGTATATTAGTACTGGTGGGAGGCTTGTGTTAGCCGGGTGCCTTAGTGTCCCACCAGTGCTGATATAAAGCCATATTGCACTGCTATGGGTGTGACATTTCTTTTATACAACAGTTCGACGGCATATATGAAATGTATATATGTTTATAGTGTATATAAAAAAGAAAATCAAACACGGAGAGTTTAAAATTGTTTTTTAAGAGGAACTGCTTTCTTTCACTACTTTTTGTGGTGGAATTTCAACCGTCACTTTCTTTGGTTTGCTCAGACAGGTTAATGGCCACCGATGCACTGAATCTGATGTTCCGAAATTATAAATGTTTTAAAATATGTAAAATGTTTTAAAATAATAAAACATCTTTATTAATAATTTGCATAGTTGCAATCAAAACAACTACATTCTCGACTTAAAAAAAGCCTTAAAAGGTTTTCCAACAGCAGCAATATTTGTCAAACTGTAGAGTGTCTTCTGATTGTCGCTGTATGTGGGCAGAGTAACATTTGCAGTAAAAACTTAAAGTATAAATTTGCAAAGAAAGTACTGTATATGTTAACATTATATTGAATCATCTTTATATTTTCCAAAATGACTAACCACAGAGTTATGGGATCAGAAGAAGTATCAATCTGTAAAGATATTTTAAATGAGGAATATAAGCATGTTTTGGATGGTATTAAAAAAGGTATGCAAGTTTGCTGTTTTCAACATATTTTGTAGAAATTCTGTGAATTAAACTGCACAATAATTCTAATAAAAAGAATAAGAGTTGGCTCACTATAGAACAAACATCTTTGATTTTATTTAAAGTTTTTCTATTTATGAGGGAAAAGCTTCATTATAGATGTAATATTGCCACTTGTGTGACTTTGGTAAATTAAATATAATTGTTGAAAACATTTACTGAGACATTTTTGGAGTATTTTTGCAGTACCTTAAAATACAAACCTACACAAAACAAAATTTAGAAATGGTTTCACTTTCACTATTATTTATTCATTTGCATGGAAGTTCTCCAACTAAATGCTGATTTATACTTCTACGTCAAGCAAATGCGTATGCTACGGCACAGCCTACACACGGCTTAGATGTACAAATCACAAGCTCTGTGATTGGTTGGCTTGGTAGCACTAAAGAGTGTGGGTGGAGGTGAGTGTTCACAAGTATGGAGTCCCATGAAGGAGATCTGGATTGAAACTGTTGTTTTGTGTTTACCTTATGATTAAAGTTGTTGCACGTCTGCCAGTTCTTGCCTCAAAATGAACGAGTTTGACCGACTTCGTCACCTTCCAATTATTGGAGGGTTCTATCTGTGTTCTGAATGACTTTGAGATACTGAGCTTCAAAGTTTTTGCACTTCATAGCAAGCTGTATGTGTGTAACATTTATTTATTTTTTAAACAAAAAGTCGTCAAATGTAAATGCAATAAAGTTAACTTGTGTAACTTATAAAAAAACATGCCATAATGTAAATAAGTTGTCATTTAATAAGAATATGTCAATAACTTAAATTTTGGCAAAAATGTCAAATAGAACCTTATAATTCTAAGGTGACGACTTGTACATTTAGGTAGTGTTCAGAAAAAACAAAACACCAGCAAAGAAACTCGACACAGAGGAACATAAACACCTCACTGCCAGCTAGCATTTCGGAAGTGTTATTGCAGAGCAACAGAAACAGCGCGCAGAAGTATATACACGGCAATGCACAAGGCATGCGCCGTGGGTCATGCCGATCACTCAACATAGAAGAAGTATAAATCCGGCTTTAGGCTTATTCTGAAAACATATCTCTATATACATTTCTGGAGAGTGTCAAATACTTCCCAGGAGGTATGTTTTTTTTTTTTCACAGTTTTTGTTGTCATGTAAATCCACCAGAAGCTACTGTCGACTGACTGATTGCCTGACCCACCCTCCTCCTTCCCTAAACTCAACCCGTAGTGTTTTCTAAAGCATCGATTGACCTGTGCCCACCTCCTTCACTAACCCAACCGACAGTGTTTTCAAAAGCAATCCAGAAAAAGAAAAGCCCCTTGATTTTTACCACGTTTTCAGATTTTACCCCATCCTCACCCTGTTATTGACTTGTTTATTTTATTTTTTGCCTTTCTGTTTTATGTCTTACCTGTTTCCTTGATCTGTTTTTCACCAGACTTGAATCCTGTCATCGGGGTCAACTTCTCTGTGCATCTCATGTCCGCCAAAGTACATGGCGAGCTACCGGACAAACTGGTAACAGCGGGAAAGCCATTCTTACGGAGGTAAGTGGACAGCTGGTGAGCGCAAAAAGGAACAGCATCATACTGCCTCGTAGCATTTGTTTTAAAGATGAAATGCAGCCATACGTACTTCTGGCTGTATAATTCGCGATCTCCAGATATTTATATAGGGCTACATTTTCCAAATGAGCAATAGTCTTTTGGTAGTTTCAGCTTGGCGCAAGAGTTATTTTGAGGCGTTGCGCTATGCTGTTTAAATAGCAAATGCATTAGCGCTCATTTGTGCGCCCATAGGCGTTCTGGTCTAAACAGGAAGGCGTTCTGAGGCGGACCGCTGGCGCGTCGCTATTTCGAGAAACTAATAATAGATTTTTCATTAGACCAAAACTAACCCGGTCTAAACTCCGGCGCAGAATTGCGCCTCGCTTATGCACTGCTTAATACGCACAAGAGAGCAATAGGCAAATATCTTTACATATGAAAAAAAATAAATATTAAGGATATATATAGGATATAATAAGAATAGATATAGGATATAAATATAAAGGATTAAAATATTACAAAACATATTATTTTCTGCCCTATAAATATGAAAAATCACTGCTTTTATGCCTTCTTCATCTCGGGAGGCTTTTTCAGTTCATTCATAACAATTTGCTTTTGTATAATGTTATTATTATTAGCAGTATTATTTAATATATCCATATTTATATTTGTTTTATTAAAAACAAGCTTAGATTTGCCCACCTGTCAGGTTTAAGACCATATGGGGCATGGCAGGTGTATTTGGAAATAACTCAGTATTTTGACCACAATTGGTTATTATTGTTCATTTATTCGTTTGCTAGAAATTATAACTGAATTTAGAAATAGTTTTGAAACAAATCTTTGCGCTTAACAAACGAAATTAATTATTTATAGGCTAATTGATGTTTGTGCGTAAAGGTTTCTGTTTAAAAACTGTCAACTGTTAACTGTTTGCTTGTGAAATGCTCATTTTTTCCACTAAGACTTACTTTGCGTCCTGTAAATAGCGAATGCGCTCTTGGCCCGATGCAGCTGGGTCTTAAAGGGAATGGGAGATGAGACTCTCTAATTGGTTTATTCTCAAAACACACCTATAACTCATTAAGAAAATAAACTCAACCCTTTTAGACCATGCGCCTTGGCGCAAGGCAGATTTCCCACCCGTAAATTAGCAAAAACGCGTCCTGACACGCCCTGAAAGCGTTTGCGCCCTGCGTTTTGCGTTCTGTGCATGGACCGTCAAAATAGAGCCCTATGTTGTAACCGCTCATGTTATTTACAGGTGAAAAGCAACTAAATATTAACAATTGAAAATATAGTATTTTATTCAAACTCAGTATTAAATGCCATTACGCGGATGCAGACAGAATCGTGAATAAAAGCATCGTAAGAAAGTTGCAGAATCGAATGAATTTGATTTAGCAATTTAAAAAAAAAAATTTAACAGTTTTTAAAAGGGTTTTATTTTTATTAATGCTGATTTTGTTTATTTATTTATTTTTACATTTTAAGTCAGTGATTCACATCCAGTTGCATTTTTAATGTGACATACAAATGAATGTACAAACAACTAACAACCTTTTGTAAGTGTCATTATGGGTTACTAAGGTGTTCAAGTTTTATTTAAGCTGATAATTGGCAGTCATTTTCCGCAGTAGTTTCTATTACATCCAGCCTCTTCTTGGAATGTTTTGCCACTCTTGCTGTGGGAAAGCGATGTCAGTGCATGCCCTCTATTGTCTCCTGATTTTCTCCCTGTGGAGCTCCTCCCTGCGACTTGAGACTGGTGTCGCTCATAAACATTCTGCTTCTATAGCACATTTACCCCCAATGCTCTTTACAGGACTGAATTTGGGGGCAATTTTGGGGGTAAGGACTTTGGGTGTACTGATATTCAAACATAACCGCAATAAAAACAAGGCAGACCACCCACTTTTTCATACCGTGGTACTCTCATGGGGTATTGAGCCCCAGCAGGTGACATTGTTAAACAACACCTGATGATGAAAACATGTATCTCAAGGAAAACAAGTGAGAGGCAACGAGCAAATAGGGGCTGAGCGAAATGAGGATGTACTGTAGGTCAAAGGAGATTTTTCTTGGTATCTGTGAATCAATCTGTAATCGTGTAAAAGCACATTCACACCAAGCATGTTAACTATCAAGATGAGAACAAAACAGCATACTTAACGTTGTTCTGAATGTAAGACAGCAGCAGAGCTTAGACCACAGCTGTATAAACCAGTGTGTCTGAGTTGTAAATGAGCGGGTGTGGTAGCCTCGCAACTGAGCCCGACGTCAACACACCAATGATCAAAATTGTGACTCTTTTGGTAGCATATGCACCCGAAATTGAATCTATGTGACCTCATAATATATTTGGGAGCATATGTGCGACTGTATATAATGGTTGTAGTGCGACCTGTATTAATTTTTTTTTCTAAAAACCTGTCTTTCGATTCCAGTCTGGTAATGAAGCAGCATTTCAATCCAACGAGTCAAAGCAAACAAAATCGTCACTTGCTGATTTACTGACAGCAAATGTTAACAGTAAAAAAGGAATTTGCTGCGGTTGTCACGGTTTGTTGTAGAAACGGGAGCAAAAAGGATCCAAGTGCAGTTTATTTAAGAGATCGTGCAGTAAACGGAAAAACAAGACATCTATGGCAGGAATCAGAATCATGAACAGGAACAACAAACTCACTATCACAAGACTTACTTTGGCAATGAAGACAAACAACGCAGTGACAAACAATGGGTGAATGGGTGTATAAATAGTCCAGTAAATCAACAGGAAACGGAGACAGCTGTGAATGGCAAATCAGTGTAAGTGATACCGGGTGTATGCACATGGGATGTATAGACTTGTAGTTCTTTCACCACTGTAGTTCGCCAGCAACTCGCAGCGAACTACAGGGGTGAAAAAACTACAAGTCCATACATCCCATGTGGATACACCTGGTGTATGCACCACATGCTCTACATCTGGTGGACACAGACAGTCATGACAGCGGTAGGAGAAGCTGCGTGAATCTTTTCTTTATTTAATAAGTGACTTCCATCCCAGAAGGCAATCCTGAAACACAGTGAATGTGTGGTGGCATTTGAAGACACAGACACTCTTGATTCTGGAAGTTATTAATAATATAATAACATTAATACTGAAATGGTTACAGCATTTAGAATTTCCAAAATGTAAGATTCCACCCACCGGTCCAATGACGGAGTCCAGTGTTGTGGTCGAAGGAATTCTGCGTGTATGCCTTTTCGGACGCTTCTGGAAAGAGTTATTTTATTTCATTAAAATTTATTGACCAATTTTTGACCTAATGCGTGTTTTAATCTGACTCCAATTTAAATTTGATAAATTCATCATTTACGTTTTTAGCTGATCATGTTATTGGTTGTGATTTAAATTTAGAATTTGATATTTTCTGAGGTCCCATATTCTAAATTGTACGTTCATTAGGGACTAACGTCGCTCAGAGTTCCACGCCCCAGCTTTGCGCTTCTTCTCACGGACAATATGTCGGCACTCTGAAAATAGTCAGAGGATGCAGGATTAACTAATATTTAGATAGGTTGGTTGCATAACGCTCACCTAATCCTAAATAAACAGATTTTAGCCAAGCCCGTGCAACTTCCTGCTTCCAGTGGTCAAATGACTAAAAGGTCTACATGTTATCGGAACGCTATGGCTATGAATAATCAAATGCGCCAATTAATCAATTCAATTTATGCCATACTATAAAGGTAACGAAGACTCCTTGTAATCTACTGGATACAATAAATTCGCAAAACTCCAGAATTAATCCAAAAGGATTAACATTTATTTTACCAGGCAGGTAAAACAACACTTAGAATTAATCAAAATTGAATACAAAACATAACTGATCAGCATAACATATAAACACAGGTAAATGCAAATTCAAATACAAAGTTAAAAAAATTAATTTATAAAGTCAGCATACCTGGCAAATATTGAGAGACACACAGAGGCTGTGTGGGAAGTCTGGCTACAGAAATTTCCCCAAGTGTTTTGCCAAGATTCTTTAAGTACCCATTAACATCTGTGAAACAGTCATAAATATTTAGCACCCAAATATCTGACTCTGTTTTTAGAGTTAATTAACTTCAAAGAGTCTAACATTGGTTTGACGTGACAAAGTTTATCAACAAATCTTTATTATGGACTGTCATTCTTAGGAGAGAGAAAACATTCACCAGTTTATCTTAAGATATCCATGAACATCTGTGAAGTAATCATGACTATCTACTTCTAAAAACTCTGTCTCTGTTCTCAGAGTTAATGTACTTCAAAGGGTTACCCAATGTTTTGAGGTGAAATGAAGTTTGAAGATAGTTTACCAGTCACACCTGAATGATTATAATTAAAAAAACAACACCAGTATTGGAGGAGGATGCGGGTGAAAAGGAATGTTCTGATTATATTTTCCAGTCACCTCTTCCAGATTCCAGAGTCTTTATGGTTTTATTGCAAGGGATAGTTGTTTGAGTAAAATCCAGTCTTACAAAAACAACATATTAGATGTTTAACAGTGTGCTCAACCTGCTGGTTTGTCCATTCACACACATTTTTATTATCACATGATCTCTTATAACTAAATCACATGACCTTTTTTTAATGCGCGTATTGGAATTTGGGCGGTAAAAGTGTTTCCATCACAGTTTATGCGCATCTTTTCTTATCGAATAAAAAGTTATTTTCTATAATCTTACTCGTTTATGCGAATATGTTTTTTATCGCATTTTCAAAATTGATGCCCATCTTTGTGTTTCCATCATCTGTTTTTTTATGCGCATATCCTAAATGAAACTTAGCTGATGACTATCTTGGAAACAGTACCATGGGAAATAATGATAATGGGAGGTTTTCAAGCTAGGTTAGCAAATTGAAGTATACAAATAAAAGTACCTCAGTTATGCAGTGCTGGTTTATAGTCATTGAATTGCTTCTTTTATTATGTATTTTATTCCCCGTACACTGACTGCAATCTTTAAATTCTCTGTTTGATTTGATTAATAACACTTTACACGAGCTGGATTCATGTCATCTGTTGGTTACAACAGATCTGGGGTCATCTGTTAGTTACAAGGGATTGATGCAGAGTGAAATTAAACAGATTGTTATAGTTTTGTTGGTGTGTAAATGCAAATATATGTATATTTATTAATTAATGGTAGTTTATGGATGAAATACAATTATTAAAGTAATGATCAACATATTCGTATAATTTGACTAAATGATTAAATTGCATTATGAAAAAGGGATCTTACACAGTTCATAAGGTTTTTCCTTTTCTTTTTTCTACATTTTCAGGTTGGGTTGAAATAAAAGTTTTTACATTATTATTTCCTGAATTTTGTATCACCTTAGTCCCAATGTTTATGCAGGAAATCAAAAACATTTCCCCCATTTTGTTTGTATACACACACACACACACACACACACACACACACACACACACACACACACACACACACACACACAGTAGTGGACAGAGTACACAAATAAGGCAGTTCAGTATAAGTACAGTTTCTCTAATAAAATCTTTTTCCAGTAGAAGTATAAAGTCCTCTTTTCATTATAAATATACTAAAGTACTTGATTTTTAATATACTTGCATCATGAAAGATAAAGTATTTATAGTGATGAATGATTATTTAGCAGGAAATGTGAAGGAAACTACTCTAATAACCACACTGACAATTCGTAGTATTCACGTGAAAACATGTGAAACCATATTCACACGCAGTGGCGTAGCGGACGGGCCCGCAGGGCACGCACCGCGGGGGGGCCCTGCGTGATTACGGGGGCCCATGTCGTCGCGATTTTCAATGATTGAAAATCCAGGAACCGCAATAATCAAACTCTTGGGAACAACTGTGGTCGGAACCAAAGTTCACAGAACTGTGTTCTCTGAACTCCTCTCAAGGTGGACTACTTCATTCTGATTGCTTGCTGCCGAACCGCGTCATAGCCAATGAAGACGTGCCGCTGTTTCTTGCCGCCGCTTCTTGTTAAAAAATGAATGACTTCTGGCTTCTTTGACGCTCTCGCCGCTTTCGGTTTGTGATCGCTCCTCAGTTTTTGAAGGATTCCCCGCATTGTCACTCCACCCCACCTCATTTCCCCGCTTCAATTATTATTTATATATCAAGATAGCAATAACTATCTTTTCATGAGCTGTGTTAAATTTTACATATAGCTGCCGCATGCATGGCTGACAGCATTGCGAGGATTAAATGAAGGATTATACAGTACCTCTCGCGCTTAAAATGTGTAGATTCAGTGGCAAACGCTGATACCTGCAAATCCCGTTCCACAGATTTTACAGTGAATGGCTTTAGTCATTTTCATAGCGGACTTGAAGCCACTGGAAGCCTTTTATCAAGTCTTTTACTCTTGGAAAAGTGTAAATGGTGGATTAACATTCAGCACATGATCACTGATAAGATGTGCCCTTATTAGTAACTGTAGGTAAATCTGTCAGTGTTATTTTCATTCTCTCATTTTCAGCGCTTCACATTTTCGCAGTTGTAGCTCCTGTCATCTGAAGGCAGAAGGCATTGACTGAGTGATTGATGGCTGATATTAACTAATTATTCGCGTTCAGTTCTAGAGGAGTGGGCCAATAAGAGCACAAAGGCGGGGAAAGCATTGCTGGCTTTTTTTACTTCAGCAAGTTCAAATAACAGCTTTTTTAATCTGTTCCTGAGATGCATTCTGCATAAATGTCTCCTAAATCCGCGCACGCGGTGAGGATTTTGCAGTGAAAACTATGAAAATGTGAAAATGTATGCACTACAATGAACTCCAACCGAACTCTTGTCTCCTTCACCAGCTGTGGGAAAAGCCATTAGAACGACATCGATCACTGCCTTTTCATGCCAGAGTCCCGCGGAAAAAAAGTGATAGACAGGTGGTCATTTGTTTGTTACTTTATTTATTTATGGTTTAATTATGGGTAAAGCAAAGACCATGTGGGTCAGGTAGTGAAAACGGTAGGCTACAATTAATTAATTTTGAGTTAATTGATATTTAACAACCACCCCCACCCCCCGCCTACGACGACGATGGCATCGTCCATCACAATGTTTTACATTAGACATCGTAAAATGCCAAATTGGTCAACATCGCCCAACCCTAATTAAAAACTGAATTGATCATTCCTTATATATGGCAAAGTAAGCAGACAAACTTCATTTCTTAATGGTAGAGGTGGTGTTTTAATTTTAGTTTACTCCGGTAATGACTGCGCTAAGGAGAAGTTTGATGCCAACGTAAAACGTTAATAGAGTTGCTGGTGCTCGTTCGTAAAAAGTTCAGTGCACTCCTATTTTAATGCTGCATTCACACCAGACACGGCACCCGCGGATAAATCACGCTATTCGCACGTAAATAGACGTGTGAACATTTGCAGTTTACTCGCTTCAATCGTGCATTAAATTCGATTTCATTCGTGTGTCAAGTTCACTTCACAATAGACACGGATTCCCGTCATGGGCAGGACTTCTGTCTGCCTAGTGACTCTAGCTTTATTGCTAAATGGCTAACATGGATTTTATTGAGAGAATAGCTGTGCTTATGTGCTTTAGGAAAGCTGAAAAACAGCATAGATTTGTTCAGCGCCATGTCTAAGTCTACTAGATTGTTTCAGAGATGCACCCAGCTCTGTGAGTTCATCAACTCCTCCAGACATTAAACCCGGATGATGGAAGCTTTCAGCAGTGCTTCCGACTGAGCCAAGCCCAGTTTGATGAACTGTTGTCCGGTGTCGGCAAGAGGATTTCCCTTAGGGTCACCAACAACAGGCACTGTCATAATCTCGCCCCTACAAGGCAAAGCTCATGATTGGTTAATGCAGCACGAATGTCCCTTGAAGTTCAGATTTTCCAACTCGAGCAATTCGCAAGTTAAGCACGTTAAACGCGCAAAACACTCAAAACGCTCAACTCGTGCTGCTTCATTCGTGCAAATCGCATCATTTTGCACCTCCTCATTCGAGCAAACAGGCCACAGGATGTCTATTCGCGTCTTTGCAGTGACTTAACATGTTAATCACTCGCGCTTGATGCTTCATCTACATCTGGTGTGAATGCAGCATAACATTGACATTATTTGCTCATTAATTTTGTAATGAATTTGTTATGGCCGAGAAGATCATTATTTCACCATTCTTCATCACTATTCACTAAGTGGAAACACGGATACATGAACACTGGAGCAGTTCAACAGTTCAAATTTTAAAAACATCTATTTCCCACTAATGATTGAGACTACACTGCATTTAGTACGTGCTCGAATGTTTTTAAAAGTTCAGCACTGAAAGGAACCGAACTCGATTCTTTTTACAACCCAACTTCCTGCAGAAAAGTTGCGATCTAAAATAAACAAACCTAACAGAAGAATGTGCGCAGCTGCAAATAAACTAATAAGCATATTTAACTTAAATTTTTACTTAATTAGACCCGTGGTTCTTAAACAGGGAACATTTTATAATTAAACTATTAGAATGTCCTTATTTTATCCATTACCTTTGAAGAACAAAATAGAAATTAATTGAAACATGGTTTACATGTTAGTAATAAACGTTAAAAAACAACATGCAAATAAAAAGCAATCAGCCTTTCCATTTTTTTATTTTTGTTATATTGTTTTTTATTTTATTTTATTTTTTTATATTATTATTATTATTATTTTTTGCAACTCCTGGGGATGTTACGATATATTAAAAACACTTCAGTCAGTGTCAGATGCAGCACATTGATTTTATGGCACCAGGTTAAACTTTTGAACACCTTTACGGCACACAGGTACATTAAAAATAAATACAAGCCACAACTGAACATGGAGGATGGTCTCTGAGTGGCGTTCTCTCTGTAGTGTGCAAGGATTATATATCTATAAACACCTCAGAGAATATTGGGTGTCGCGAGTCACTGGCATTGTTATTTTTAGGGTTGCGGGCTCAAGTTTGGGAACCTCTAAATTAGACCACTTTAAATGATTATACGTGTCATAATCATTACTCAACAAATGTATATTTATTCTACTTGCATTCATTTTTAGGACTGTTTAAACGCACGGTTTTACAAATAAGGCTTCTGCATGGTCCTCCAAATGTCATCAGTTTTTTTTTTTAATCCCTCTAGGCTTGGTTTAATATTAATATTCATTAACTCATTCCTTAAACCAACCTCACTCCAACCCAAGGCCTTTTTTAATCATTAAAGATTTTTAAGATTTTTAAAGACCAGTAGTGCATTCATGTGTTTTAACTGTGCGTTAAAAAGAGTTCCCTCAGATGTCTTTATCATTGAATCTTACTAGTCATTGAACTAGGCTCTTTTCGTTCCCTTCCAGCTGTGTCTCGTTTGGTCAGATGTCCTGTAAGAAGTGGCTGCTGGTTTGTTTCCTGGTTCCAGGAATTGCTTTAATGATTTACCTCGGCCACAGCCCTTTGACGAAACCCTGGCATCACGCATCAGTGCAGAGAGAAGCACAAAGACCAAACGCAGACTCTCCAAACACTGAAGAAGATCCTGGGTTGTACCATGTTGCCTACCCTCGAAATTACAAATTCATCATAAACCAACCGGGGATATGTGAAGAGCGAAAACCCTACGTGGTGATAATTGTCCCTGTGCCACCTCATGATTTTAATGCACGCAATGGAATCAGGAACACATGGGCCGGAGAAAAGGTTGTTGAGGGCAAAGAGGTGCTTGTTCTGTTTATTTTGGGCTTACATAGTGGAGATGATGAAGAAACGTTGCAGGAGCAACTGCGTAACGAGAGCCAGCAATACAAAGACCTTCTGCAGAGCAACTTCCAGGACAGCTACAGGAACCTGACCATTAAAACCATGATGATGATGGAGTGGCTCAGCAGGGATTGTCAACAGGCGTCTTACGCAGTAAAAGTGGACGCTGATGTGCTCCTCAATGTGAACAACCTAATCAATATGCTTGTGAGTCTAAACACAGTGCAGAGCAACTACATGACTGGGTTAGTGTGGGATGCTAGTCCTGTCATTCGAGATTCCTCCAACAAGTTTTTCCTCCCCTACGATGTTTACCCTAAATACGCATATCCTCCTTATCCTCTGGGCATGTGTTACATCATTTCTTTGGACCTGCCTCAAAAGTTTCTCAAGGAGTCGAAGAAAATTAAGCCTCTATATATTGAAGATGCGTATCTAGGAATGTGTTTGGAGCATTTAGGTATCGCCCCTGTCAAACCTCCAAACATGGATCAGTTTGTGGTAAAGCCACCGCAATACAATCGCTGTTACTTTTCCCGACTCATAGCAGTACTGACTGATAACACAAATCAGATGACCTCTTTTTGGACGGATATTCATTTGACCAGCAGCCCTTGCTGAGCTGGGAATCTTACTAAATAGTAGGCTATATTGCAATATGATATTATGTTTGGTTGTGTGTCTTTTATGCCTGTGTGTGTATGTGAACGAAACGGTTTGGTTTATCATGACAAGTATTAATTGTGGTTCCCCTGCACAAGGAAATAAGTATATTTGGAACTGAGGCTGTCATTTGTGACCGAGAAATGTGAAGAAAATGTTGTAAGTTTTTCCATTTTTGTAGTGCAGTAAAAAAAAGAAAAGGTTTACATGTTTATTTAAGTATCACTAATATATAAACCGCAGCTCTGCACAGTTTAGCTCCAACTCACACCTGCTTAATATTCTCTAGTAGTCATGAACACCTTGATTAGTTGGATCAGCTGTGTTTGATTAGGATTGGAGCAAAGCTGTGCAGAGCTGCGGCCCTCCAGGGATCCAGTTTGAGAGCCATGTGTTAATGTAAACACATTCAAATAAAAATGTAACATTTTCATTTAAACATTGAAAGATTATTTAAAAAGTGTCACTTTGTAATAAAAACAAGTGTATTTTTGTGGATTGTACTCTGAAGTTGTAGTATGTGGGTCAATTGTAAAGCCCTAAAATAAATTGAAAACTGTTTGTACTGCAGTTGTACTTCCTACAAGTTTGGTGACACTTATTTCTACAATTTTTCAGCTTGTGGGACATATTCAGCATATAAGACGGGTAGCAGAGTAGATTGCTGGTGTAGATCTACACTCACTGGCCACTTTACTAGGTTCACCTGTCCAGCTGCTTGTTAATGCAAATTTCGAATTAGCCAATGACATGGCAGCAACTCAATGCCTTTAGGCCTGTAGACATGGTCAAGATGATCTGCTGCAGTTCAAACCGAGCATCAGAATGGGGACGAAAGGTGATTCAAGTGACTTTGAATGAGGCAGGGTTGGTGCCAGACAGGCTGGTCTGAGTATTTCAGAAACTGCTGATCTACTGGGACTTTCACACACAACCATCTCTAGGGTTTACAGAGAATGGTCCGAAAAGAGAAAACATCCAGTGAGTGGTTGCTTAATGGGCGCAAATGCCTTGTTGAGGTCAGAGGAGGATGGTTAGACTGGTTCGAGCTGATAGAAAGGCTACAGTAACTCAATTAGCCAATCTTTACAACCGAGGTATGAAGTAGAGCATCTCTGAACACACAACATGTCCAAACTTGAGGTGGAAGACCAAACCGAGTGCCACTCCTGTCAGCTAAGAACAGGAATCTGAGGCCACAATTCACACAGGCTCACCAAAATTAGACCATAGGAGATTGGAAAACATCGCCTGGTCGGAGTCTCGATTTCTGCTGTGACATTCGGATGGTAGGGTCAGAATTTGGTGTAAATAACATGAAGGCATGGATCCATTCTTATATCAATAGTTCAGACTGCTGCTGGTGGTGTAATGGTGTGGGGGATGTTTTCTTGGCACAATTTGGGCCCATTAGTACCAATTAAGCACCGTGTCAAAGTCACAGCCTAGCTGAGTATTGTCGCTGACCATGTCCATCCCTTTATGACCACAGTGTACCCATCTTCTGATGGCTACAGTACTTCCAGCAGTATTACACACCATTTCATAAAGAGTGAATTATCTCAGAGTGCTTTCTTGAACATGGCAATGAGTTCACTGTACTCAAATGGCCTCCACAGTCACCAAATCTCAATCCAATAGAGCACCTTTGGGATGTGGGGGAATGGGAGATTTACATTATGAATGTAAAGCTGACAAATCTGCAGCAACTGTGTGATGCTGTCTTGTCAATATGGACCAAAAAGTCTGAGAAATATTTCCAGAACCTTGTTAAATCTATGTCACCATATATTAAGGCAGTTCTGAAGGCAAAAGAGGGTCCAACTAGGTACTAATAATAACTAAAAGTGGCCAGTGAGAGTAGTTATATAGTTCAAAACTGGTTCAGTCCAGTTTAATACAAATGTCTCGGTTGAAGGATGACCTACTAGGAAAAAAACAGCTCCTTGACCCCAACCAAAGAATCAAAGATGACTGTGGCAAGGAACCAAAGCTCAGACAACTGGCAGAAATCCAAAACAAATGTTGGGAGAAACCAGGCTCGGTTGGGGGACCAGTTCTCCTCTGGCCAACTGGAAAAGAGTCTAAACTGTAGACTTAAACAATACAATTTGTGGTAAAGCTGGGAATGTGCAGGTCCAAGTAGGTTCTAACTGGGTGTAAATGTATAGGTATACTGATAATAAATGAGAGAACATTTGATTTAAACGTATGAAACTTAATATTGAAGTAAACCTACTTGAGAATACTACCTCATTCCTATTTGGGTATTTTTTCTTTTTACCTTAAACTAATGGTCTCAAAGTAATTTTTGCATAGTTTAGCTCCTACCACCTCCAACTCACACCTGCTTAAAGGTCCATAGTAGTCTAGAACACTTTGTATTGTTGAATCAGATGTCTTTTGATTAAGGTTGGAGCAAAACTGCAGAGCTGCGGCCCTCCAGGAATCGAGATTGAGACCTAGGCCTTAAACCAGGGGTGTCCAAACTATGTCCTGGAGCGCCGGTGTCCTGCATAGTTTAGCTCCAACTTCCTCCAACACACCTGCCTGGAAGTCTAGTATACATGGGAAGAGCTTGATTGGCTGGTTCAGGTGTGCTTAATTGGGGTTGGAACTAAAATATGCATGACACTGGCCCTCCAGGACTGAGTTTGGACACCACTGCCTTAAACTAAAAGTGTCTAAACTAAAGTCTTTTCTGTTCTTCCAAAGATGATCAGGTTCAGTTTCATGCATATTAGTTATAAAGAAATACGTAAACCACTCTGGACACTGATAAGAGAACATCCATTGCATTTTATTGCAAATAAGGAAATTCTGTATTTTCAAATAATGACGAATGATTGTTGTACATTTCTGTTTTGCACAAACTATTGGAGCTTTCAGAAGGGGCGGGGTCAGACTCAATGTCAGCCATCCTAACTCACCATTCAGGTTCATTGGACTAAAGCGACGGTCTTAGAACATGTAAGGCAGGTATGCCCAAACTCTACCCTGGAGGGCCAGTGTCCTGCATAGTTTAAATCCAGCCCCTATCAAACACACTTGGGCTAGCTAACCAATCTCTCAGTAGGCTTGCTAGAAATGTCCTGGCAGGTGTGTTGAGGCAAGTTGGAGCTAAATTCTGCAGGACACCGGCCCTCCAGGACCAATTTTCCAGGATAATCTACAGCAGGGGTGACCAACCTTATTCCTAGAGATATACCTTCCTGCAGAATTCAGGCGCAATCCATTTCAAACACACCTGCCTGTGATTTATCAAGTGCTGTTCATGTCCTAATTAATTGGTTCAAGAGTTTTTGATCAGGATTGGAGCTGAAATCTGCAGGAAGGTAGATCTCCAGGAACAGGGTTGAGATCTACAGATTGCCTTGCATTAAAGGATAAATGCACTACCTTGAGGCCAAGAACTGCCCGATGTGAAATGGAGTGCATTTAAAATTCTTTAACTCAAGGCAAGCCCTTTGTTATGACTTTTATAGCATAGTCGGTTTCCAGTTAAAGACTATTTAGAACCAGTTTTGCAGCACAATATTTAAACAATTCTTGTACAGTTAGATCTCTTAGTTCCTGCTTTGAATGATACACAGACAAGGAGGAAGTGCATGTGACACAGGCATATCTATTGACTCCTAGTGTCATGTGTTAGCTTAGCTCTTTGCAAATATTTTTGAGCATACAGTATTTGGGATGGTTGGTTGATCTCCATAGACTCCTGGTGAAGCACATGTCGATGTCCTTGAGATTACACTGATGAATGAATGCTGTCAACTGTCACTGAAATACTTTGTTTACTTTTGCTGTTTGAGGGAAGAACATTTATGTTGCACAGTGATCAAAACTGACTGGAACTAACTGTGCATTGAAGGACTTTATTGCACTCCTTCCAGCCAATCAGAATCAAGAGTTTCATCCACTTATGGCTCTGATTTCAAAACACTTCAGATAAGAGTCTTGCAAATGAGCAAACACTAAGTCCCAAACATTGATGAGATTAGTGGAAAATAAGACTAATTTAACCATTAGGTCTAAACCAGGGGTGCCCAAACTCAGCCCTGGTGGGGGCGGTGTTTTGCATAGTTTAGCTCCAACTTCCTACATACACACCTGCTTGGAAGTTTCTAGTATACCTGGAAAGAGCTTGATTAGTTGGTTCAGGTATGTTTAATTTGGGTTGGAACTAAAATATGCAGGACACTGGCTCTCCCAAAACAGAGTTTGGCCAGCTCTGGCCTAGACAGATAAAACTTGAGCCTGTAAGGCAGTGACATACATTTACGTACATAAATATGGACTCACTGTTTCTCAGGTGATCAACTTCTAAATTCCTAAAGACAGACCAGATCTACTGAGGCATCCACTGACCAGTGATTCTATTGCCCCTGAAGAGCATATTTGCTGCAGTGTTTAGAATGTCCAGCACATGGACTGCTCTGAAGAATTTTGTGATGTGCTGACAGAAGAAGAAAGCATCGTGCTGTGATGTAAATCAGCAATCCTGAAGAACCACCCACACCACATGTCTCCTTTGTCTGTCACACCCATTACAGGTCTTTCAGTCTCTGCTAATGAGCTGATGATTTGAATCAGGTGTGTTTGGTTAAGCAGAGATGCAAAATGTGCAGAGCTGGTGGTCCTCTAGGAGCAAGTTTTGCTGTAAAGTATGTAGGACTGACCTTCCTGGTGGTTTTTTAGGCACAACCACTGTTTAGTGCATTTGGGTTAAGAAAACCTTCTTTGTCTTGAGGCAGTAGAAATGGAGGCACTGCTCCAGAGCTGTCCAGGAACCAGATGACTGGTTGGACCTCTAATGAAGTGCATCAACCTTAGTACAAGGGTCACCAAACCTTTAGTTAGCTGTAGTTTAGCTCCAAATTGTCTCAACAAACCTGCAGGGAAGCTTCAAGTATACCTAGCAAGGCCTCGATTAGTAGTGTTGAAGCTGAAATCTGCAGGACATCGGCCTTCCAGGACCAAGTATGGTGATCCCTGGGTTAGTATCTTCTAAAGCCAGGTCCGTAGGGGTGCAGAGCTTCTTGATAGTGATAGTATTGTTCAAAGTTGTTCATATTTCAGAGGATCCTCTTCAGAGGCA